ATAAAGCATTTGACTACATATTTGACTATATATACAGTGGGGGAAATAAGTATTTGACCCCTTGCTGATTTTGCAGGTTTGCCCACTTACAAAGAATGCAACAATCTATAACATTAATCATATGTACATTCTAACATAAACTTCCAGAAAATCACATCATATGAATTTATAAAAATTGATAACCATCTGATGAGGAAAAACAAGCATTTTGCCAATTTAAGCAAGCGTAAGTGGGCAAAACTGCAAAATCAGCAAGGGGTCAAATACTTATTTCCCCCACTGTACATATATGTATGTGAAAATGTAACATCTAGATGGGCATGTACTGTCTCTGAAACTGCTGCATCATGCTGCACGTGAATCAACACCCCTTGGCCTTCTGTCAGGGTGCTGTAACTGCATGCACAGTCATTAAACACACGGATGCTTTGATATGACTTGGCCTGAAAAATGCTGAGCTGTAACCTGACAAAGGTGATATTAAACTGCTGATATTAAATCATGATATTTGAGTATTTTAATCAACACTATCATGAATTCTATTGATAATGTTTGTGACATGTGGTCAATGGACTTTGGCTATATATAAAAGTGTATTATTATTGATATGACATGATTATGGTGATCAAAGTGTTTTTGTGGTCTTTTTCTTCTGTCAACCACTGTTCTTCACATACAGGCTCAGGCTTCAGAGGCTAGATCCGTGGATTATAGACTACAGGTGATTATGGCAGCTGCATTTTTCTATTTCATTATTCATTAAAATCCATCAGACGTAGATAAGTTATTTATGAAATTATCTCATTTTTAAGTTTAAATTACTTAAACACCTCAAAGCACCTCAAATATCTGTAGGCCACCGAACAAAGAGTAGATGCCGAAGTTGCAAGAAATCAATTACCTTTATCTCATTAGTCTAATTTATTAAGAGAAAATTGAACATGAACATTGTAATTTCTCGCGAAATCTATCCACTTGTACCCAACTCTACTTTAAAGTGCAAATTTGAATTACACAGTTAAAGCTTCCACGCCTAGTTTCCCATTTTTTTATGGTCCCTTTCAAGGTCTGGTTAATGTTAACCTTTCTGTCACCTTGAAATTTCTACATGTTATTGAATATGGCCAAACGACTGCTTATATTGCATTGATTTGAATCAGATTTGTAGAGGCAGGTCACCATCTAAAATATCCATTACCTTCAAGGCCTGGAGTTGACCGTACCTGCTCATTTGCTGTGTTTTGGACAAGAGTTAATATTCTTAATATTCTTAATATGCCTGATATATTCTTAACACATTTAGTGTTGTAAATATGTGTATTGACAACTTGAAAAATGTTTGAGAAAACAAACAGAATGGTTTGAGCTGTTTATACATTTGGTAAGGAAGTAATAATTTATTTTCAAGAAACCACAGTTTTAATCAAGTTGAGATCATTGCATGTGAGAACAGATCTCCAAGCTGGACAGCAAAAAGCTGCAATAATATAAGCTAACACTGAGTGGCAATATATACAAATTAGTATTTGAGCTGAAGGTTGAAGAAAGATTGGGTAAAAATATTACAATGCATTCCAAAGGATTCCACTGAAGAACTAACTAACTGAGGATGAAACTAGAACAGTAGAAGTTTTCTCTATTACATTAGGATTATAAAGATTCAATTAAATGAAAAGCACAATTACTGTTTGTATACTTATAAATACACAGCATTGACCTTATGATATTATTTTGTTTTAGCAAGTGGTATTTATCTGTTGCATCTTGCATTAATGTAACACCTTACTTTGGATGCAGTCTTATTTCACTTAATCAGTTTAACTCATTTTGAAATGGTTAATATCATGACTTTGATGCTCTGTGGGTGGATGTCACAGGTGTTTTGGGGATTTTACTGGGGTCTAAAATGAAAGGATTTATCTGATTTTGTTCCTTTCAAATAACATTAGAATTAAAGAGAACATAATCTTTTTCAGACATAAAATAATGTTAATATACCCTCTTATCATGACCTTGAACTTTTAATAAACAGTTATGAAACCTGAGGAAATTGCTTTAAGACTTCAAAGCTAGTTGCATAGATAAAAATCAAAGAATGGAAATATACTTGCCAGATATTTCATAACATGTTAAACAACCACCACTTATCTTGTTATGGCTGTTACATAAATTACATAAATACATACTTCCATAAAACATTTGGACTTTGGGAAACTACATACATGTTTAATTGGAGTGATGCTGGCAGTCAAGCTCTGTCAATTGATAAATCATTTGCCAAAGCGTTTTCTCTTCTAAATATGTGAATGCTAGTCATAGTTTCATTTAGTGCATGATACTTTGATTCCAATAATGTTTTACAACTCAATATGTACGAGAGTAATACACAGATCTCCCACTTCTCACAGATAACTATTAAAAAATAAGCTTCAAACTTTTCTAGCTATTCATATAAGTCATATTTCTAGTCTCAAAGATTCTACTATTCTTGGGTGTGATTCAAAGGGTGTGATTGTATAGCTATATATAATATTTTTAAGACTTAATTTAACTAATTCCCTTCACTTATATGTATATGTATATGTAATATACATATGTTACCCGACAAACCTATAATTTGTGTGAGTTGTATTTTAGAAGGTGGTATTATCCATTTTAAAGTGTACTTGTTTTGCCTAATTGTTTAAACTTATATTAAAATAAAGAAATTACTGTGACGATTAATGGCGTTTTTAGGTACTGGATGTTTGAGATGTTCAAAATTGTACTGGTTTGTATTCTGTTTTTTATCTAAACCAAGGTAATTATTTATCTTTCTTTTCTCCCTGCTGACATTAGAATGAGAAACCCCCACATAACCCCCTGTATTAAATAATACAGATAAAGCCTTTTCTCTTGACCTGAAAAGATGTGTAAAACAGATGTCACAGGTGTTTTTCCATTAAGCAATTACTTTAAAGACAACAAATAATCAAAACAAATTCTAAAAAAAAAAAAAAGTTATACTAAAACAAATAAATTTGTTATTTTTATGCCACTAAATAACCAACCAGCATAAGTGTTTGTTGCACGAATTTAAGGTGAATCCATACATCTATTTCTGGCATGAAGGTAAAATCAATTTGTAAAACATTTTAAAGTGGAATGCTGATGTAGCTCATCAACATGAGCTGTTCTTGGGTCATTCACTTCATGTCATACTTTCTCTATGCTGACTTTTTTAATCAGGCAACCTTCTAATAAAAGCAACTACTTGTAAAAAATAATAATAACACACATTCTTGACAATCTTAATTTGATCTCAATCCCATCTATGGACAGGGTCTAAGTGAGTGAGGGAAGGATGGAGTGAGATCAACAGGCAGATTGGTGCAGACTCCGCATCAGTCTCTAACTGAGCCAAAAGGCAAAGCTCTTGATATAATGGTCGATCTACATCCTGCCTTCACAAGCTGTGGTTAGTGACTGAAAGAATGAAATTTCCAATGTGGCCAAAATGAGTTTTCTCCGTGGTGTGGCTGAGCTCTCCCCTAGAAATAGGGTGAAGTCATCCAGGTGGGCTCAAAGTAGAGCCGCTGCTCCTCCACATCAAGAAGTAGAAAGTGTTATAAAAAACAAACATTTCAATAAATCTAATTCATCCAACCCATTTTGCCTTGGGCCCCAAAGATAAAACGGGTTTTTATTTAAATGAAAACGCTCCATGCCATTTTACTGGATTATGTTAGTAAAATTAAATGATATTTGTTCACAATATAAACAGTGCATTCTGATTGTTGCTGTCTTGACCTATTGTTCACCACAAAATATTCCTTTTGATTTTGCATAAATCAGATTTTACTCTTACTCATTGACATTATCGCATTACCTTTCCCCAGTATTAGATCGTTTATCTTATCATGACCCTTGACATGCGATAAAGAGTTATGAAAGTTGTTGTCTTATGAAAGCACTCTTAATGACTCTATAGCTAGTACATTTGTCTTCCTTCAGAGAATAAAATTGAACTAATCAATTATTTAATCCAACCAACAGATTTATATGTTTGTGATTTCAACACGGTTACTTAGCATTAACTTTTTTACTCACAGTCAGATATTCTACTTACATAGATCCTATGACCTGTTGTGTGTGAGTCTGTGCGTGTGTGTATATATATATATGAATATATAAATATATATATACATATATATATATATATATACAGTATGCATGTTTGTCAGGATAGGCTCAAGGCAGGACTTAGATGCAGAGCTTGGCATTCTCAATGTCTTTATTGCAAAATCAACACTCAAAAATGCAAAATAATACTGTATCTCTATTTCGAGATGCTCTCTGGCAACTGAAGAGGTTCAGCGGCTCAGGTTCAATGGACAACACGACGAAACACACGGGAACAAGACAAAGGGAACACAGGCTATTTCAACACATGGAGGGAAGGGAACCCCAGGTGAACACAATCGGTGATTATGGGAGACAATTAGACAGGTGACAAACAGGCAATGACAGGAGGGTCACTTTTCATAATGAAA